ACTTTCCAGAGCGAGGCCTGTTGGTTTAAATGTGACTTTTACAGCGTTCTGCCTGCCCTCCCGTGTAGAACCTCTTAGAAAAGCTGCTCTTCCTCCCTGTGCCCTTTTCGCCAAACCCCGTCTTCTTTAAAGCGCCGTCCCGGAAGGCTTGGCCCCTAGACTTTGCCCGCGGGGGTGAAGGACAGGGGAAGGTGTGTAAAATCGCAAGACAGTCAGGACACAGTAGACAGAAGCTGACATGAAAGGAAAGGGTAGGCAGGCACAGCTGTGAGACACACGGGAGGGGTGGACCTAGGGAAGGTTAGCACAGCTCAGGGGGGTAGGCTGGGGGGGGGGGGGGGTTTCAGGGGCCCTGTGACCCTGCAGATCCCCTGCTTCTGTTTGTCTGCCTGATGGACGGGCAGAGGCGTGCACAGTGGGGTGCCTGTGTGTGTGTGTGTGCGTGTGTGTGTGTGTGTGTGTGTGTTAAATTCCAGCGGGGGTCACGGTGAGGCCATGCCCCGTGGCTAAGCGCAGGGAAAGGCCATTAATTACGCTGCCTTGACACTGGGACGGAACGGCATGTAATTGATGCCTTCTGTGTTGCTGGAGGAGCAAGCAGTCACGCGGTAAAAGGGTCACCGTCCCACAAGGGAAGGGGGCACCGTTTTCACGGGAAGTCCTGGCCCCCAGGTGGGAGCCGGTGGGCACAGCCTAGCTTTCACCCTCTTATTAGCAGGATTTGTGGAGGGCTGCTGGTTTGGGGTGTGTGTGTGTGTGTGTGTGGTCAAGCATTCTGACCATTTTTCTTACAGGCTCACAAAGGAACAGGTCCAATTAGGAGCAGAGGTAATGGATTAACCTGCCTGTTTTTAAAATTTTTTTTTTTAGCTCTTTCACAAATGTGAACTTTTCTGGAAAACCACCCCACAGTGACCTGTGTGTGTGTGTGGGGTGGGGGGAGGACTCCTGGCCCTTTGTGTTTACTTAGGCCCTATGTGTGTGTCCCTGTGTGTTCTTCCCAGGGGGGATGAGCGATTACCCGTCACAAGAAGGATGGTCTCCTGCTTGTTGGGGGTCCTTTCAGCACTGGGGCAGCCCTTTGATCTGCCTGTTGAATAATGAATAACGAATGAGACACTGGCTGGACAGAGGGAGTGTTTGTGTGCTGGGGGGGTCGGGGGGGTCTCCCCAGCTATGCTGGGTGCCTTGTTCGACCTCTTTCCCACCTTGCATTGCAGCATGGAGGCGGAGATGTCTGAGACAGGGGTGATTGAGAGGGGATGGGACATGGGTCAGAGGTCAGCAAGAGGACTACAGCCAGGCCAAGGTCTCAAATCTCAGCAGAAGGCACTGCTGGAAGCTCACCTGGAGGGCCGACTCGCCTGGAAAGCCGTTTTGGCCCCTGCTGTTGAAAAGTGAGAAGGGAGGCTGCTTTCGCTCCTCAGTCCTGGGGTGAGGATCAGCCCCATGGTAAGAATGCCCCCCCCCCCCTGGGTGGAAGAAGAGGGCAGCTGAGCTGATGATAAGCTGAGGTCCTCATATGCATGGTTATGTTCTGTCCCGGAAATTCAGAGTAGTGACTGTTTCCTGTCGTGGATTTTGATCTGCTATCCATCAAACACCTTCCTGCTAACAGCGGCTGCCTAGTACAGCTTCAATGGCCAAACCACATGCGAAACCCATGTCTCTGACGATCATTGGTGACGCATACAGAAGCTCAGAACCCATGGATGGAGGCCGGTGTTGCCCTTCCTGCCAAGAGAATGACAGATTGGGAGAGTTACGCACTTCTTCTGTGCCATTCATGCTTAAGTTAGTGACTACCCCGCTTGGCATTTGCCCCCACCTCTGTGAGGGATAGATGGTAACAGGACTGTGGACCTGCATCCTGAGGTATAATAAGTCATCTCCATTTCCTTAGACCCCCCCCCCCTCCATAAATCTAGCAAATTGCCCAACGTGCGTATATCCATTCCTATCGATTTGAATGCTAAAACAGAGCCCAGGGAATGTGGGGAACAGGACACTTTGTGTCGAGTGGAAGCCATATGCTAAAAGGATTCCTTTGGCATTTAAATCGATGGCCCAGGGAAGGGGACTATCATTGACGCCAGTGAACTTTCGACACAGGCCTTTGAAGAAGGAAAATATGATCCCCGTTAGAACATTTATGGGGAAATTATCAGCGGCAGAGAGGGCCCAACGAGGTGAAATACGGCTCAGCATATCACTCTCTTGAGCTTGAAGGAGCAGCTAAGCAGACAAGCCTGAAAAACAAAGACAAACAGACTTAAATCCAGGCACAGCCAGCGGGGGGCAGCGCAGCTGATTTACGGCCATACTGATATTGAATTGAGTAGGAAACGCGAAACAAAACAGGTTTGTGAAATCGGCTGGGTGTCCCGCCCCCTCTCGGCCGAACCCCTTATGAGCTTCCCCAGCGTGTGTGGCAGCATTCCCAGGAGAGCACGCGTGCGTGCAGGTGGCAGAGGTTCGGGCTGCCAAGGGGGGAGTCAGAGTGATGTAATGGTCGCTCACAAATCCTGAAAGAAAGTCTATGTCTCTCCTGGATGAGGAGGAAGGAAGGAGAGGGGGGAAGGGGAAAGCGAGAAGAAAAAAAGAGAAAAAATAAGGCCAAGCCTTGCGATTTGATGTGGGCGTTTTTCTGACAGCTATAATTCTCCAGCCTACAGAATTCCATCAACAGGAGTTGTGTTAAAGCTGGTGCCGTAGGCCTGCCGCCTTTCATGTCTCCCGCACTGACAGGTAGATTTATTAGTCCTGAAATTTGTACAGATCACATGTCACCCATGGCAGACTGTCAAAGTGAGAGCAGGGAGCCCTCCTGTAGGCCCTCTGCTGTGTGTAGGAGAGGGAGGGAGAGAGGGAGGGAGGGAGAGAGGGAGGACAGGGGCAGGCAGATGGAGGAGAAGGAGGGAGGAGAGAGAGAGAGAGAGAGAGAGAGGGAGAAAGAGAGGGAGAAAGAAGGAGATGGGGGGAGGAGGGACGGAAAGAGGGAAACAGGCGAGGGAAGAGAGAAAGAGGGAGATGGAGGAGAGGGAGGGAGATAAAGAGGGAAACAGAGGAGAGGGAAGAGATAAAGAGGGAGATGGAGAAGAGGGGGGGAGAGAGAGAGATAGAGGAAGAATGAGAGAGGGGAAGATGGAGGAGAAGGAGAGAGAGAAACAGAGGGAGAAAGAGGGAGATGGGGAGGAGGAAGGACAGAAAGAGGGAAACAGAAGAGAGGGAAGAGAAAGATGAGACGGAAGAGAGAGAAAGAGGGAGAGAGATAGCAAAGTCTTATTTACACACCAAGCAAAACTAGTCAAACACCAGTATGAAGCTAATTCACTTACTGATAAACCTGCCTCAGGACCTGTTCTAGAACATTTTTCAGGACATTGCTCCAGGACCAGCTTCAAAACCTGATACAGAACCTGTTCCAGGACATGTTTAAGACCTGCTTCAGAAACTGCTCCAGGACCTGCTCCAGAATTGAAATCAGAACCTATTTCAGGATCTGCTACAGGACCTGCCATATAACTTGCTTTAAGACCTGCTCTGGGATTGACTTCAGAACCTGCCCCAGGAAGTGCTTCAAAACCTGCTTAAGGACTTGCTACAGAACTTGCTCCAGGACCTGCTTGAGAACCTGGTTCAGGACCTGCTTCAGAACATCTAATTAGATTTTCCAACCTTGGGGGGCTCAGACTGACATACTGTATATGGATGTGAGGGGAGTTTAAAGCAAGTTCAGGAGTGACCATTGGGTTGGAGTTTGGTCACTGACTGTATAACCCAAAGCAGTTCAGTGGTTGCATAAATATACAATACCTTATGATGGTACATTAACGTTTTGTGTGTTTTTATGTGTGTGCATTCTGAATGTTCTTTTTGTACATGTGCTGAAGCACACATCCCATGTTCTAAACGCATCCAGGCTCACCATTAAGCACAAGTGATGGAAGTCAGCTCTCCCTGGGGAGCCTAAACTAGGCTACTGTGTTTCTGGGGCACAACGGAAGTTAACAGCTGGTAACTTTGAAGAGACACTTGCATCTGCATGCACAACATGACAATAGCACTTTCATTCTGTTGTGAATATGAACCTGCAAGTGGCCCGTGTCAGTCAGGGAGGGGCTGGCTGTGGTAAGCAGGTAACCCGAAGCCGAAGCCTTATACCGGTCAGGGTCATGGGGGGGAGGGGGGGCGGAAACTGTCCCAGTCAGCTTGCAGCACAAGGCAGATTGTTTGTGCAAATTAGCTGCTGCTATAGCATAGCGAGACGAAACTGAACATATGAAAAGAGGGAAAATGCAGAGTAATCTGTTCCTGAGGGCATGTGAGGCTGGGCCATACTGACTTACTGCTGGGTTTCGTCCAGGCAGATCCGTGTTCTGCTCTGAACCTCAGGACCGACCCACGTGGCATGTGGAAAGGAAACAGGCAGCAGGCCGAGGGGAGGGTGACGAATGAGAGCGGGGCGCTGAGTGAAAGGGGGAGAGGGAGGGAAGGAGAGGAGCGAGTGAGTGACGGACAGACGAGAGAGTGAGCGCAGCAGCTTTGGGGTGGGGACAAGAGCGGGGGGAGGGGGGTGTCAACATAGGGGAAGGCAGCATGGGATTTTTCTCTGGCTTGGCTCAGGAACTTCCTTGGGTCACACATCTGGTTCTTATATTTCAAAGTTAATTAGTCATATTGAACTGTCTGAAGATAAATTTATCATCCAGGAAAAACACAAACAATGTGAAAAATGAAAGGAAGTGAGGTGACATATTACTTGACGTTTAAATAAATCATTTTGACATAATTAAAAACGTACGTGTGGTAATGGGGGCTGGGGGGGTGGTGGGGGTGGGGCGGGGTTCTTACAGACCAGGCCTTGTATGTGTATTTTAATTACTGGGCCTCCCAAGCACAGGATTCCCTCTCTCTATTGCTCTCTCTCTCTCTCTCTCTCTCTCTCTCTCTATCTATCTCTCTCCCTTGCTCCCACTCTCTATCTCTCTCTCCGACTTGCTCACTCTCTATCTCCCTCCTTCTCTCCTTCACTGTCCCACTGTTTCTTGCCATCTATTTCTCTCTCCCACTTTCACTTGCCTGCTTTTCCTAACTCTCTACTCCTCTCTCCCTGTTTCACTCTCTCCTCCATATTTCTCCCCCTTCCTCCCTCCCTTTCCCTGTCACCCTCTTCTTTGCCTTGCCCCCCATTTCCGTCTTATGCTGTTTGCTCCTAGCGCCTCCGTCCACTTCTCACTCCAATAGCATCTCCCCATATTGCCCCGCTGCCTGCCAGATCCCGCGTGCGTCCCGTGCTGTTTAAGCTCCGCCCCCTCCTGCCCTCCCGTGCTGTTTAAGCTCCGCCCCCCTCCTGCCCTCCTGCCCTCCCTCCCCCTGATGGTGATCTCACTCAGCACGCTGTCAGCCACTGTTGTTGGCAGATCGGAGGTTTGTGATGTCGGGGGCTGACTGATTGCTTTCTGTGGGCGTCTCGTGTTGTTAAACTTGCTTTGTACTCCATGTGTCCCCAGGACGCTTTTAAGCTCTATTAATTTTTTCATTCTTTGTTTAGCCCTGCTGGTGTTTTTCATGGGCGGAGCCACAGTGAACACTTTCCCCGGAGCAGAGCGCAGGGCCCATCCATCAAGCTGCCTCTCATGCCGTCCCGTCCGGAATGAGTTGCGACAGAGGACTTAACAGGGTCCAGAAGATATGATTCAATTACAGCCGCGGATAATATAAAAAGCCAATTCAATTACTGTGCTCTGAGTTATCGTATTTGACCGCGTGTTTGGTAAATGCCATCTGGACTTGAAAAAAACAGGAGTGTTTATGAAAAGGAAGAGGTGCGGAAAGCAGGGGAGGGAGGACAGCTCGGAAAAAGACGACAGCAGGAAAAGGGCACGGTGACAGGTCGCGTAACACCGCGTCAGGCGCGCCGGGTAATTGCACTTTAAGCGAGGAGGCGTGCTGCATTCCTCTGTGTTTGTGACAGTTTTATTAAGAGCTGTCCACCCGCCCTGGCCCTTAGTGAAGTAAGGGAGTATGGATAAGGGAGGGGAGCGCAGCTGAGGGATGGACTCGGGGCAGGAATGTCTCTGATTTAAACTTGGCTGCTTGTCCTTTTTAAATCAAATAAAGTGATGAGTTTGGGAGCTGTGTGTGCTCCATTAAGCAGAACCAGATGGGCAGGGCCTGTGTGTGTGTGTGTGTGTGGGTTTGCACAGATTACATTTGAGGACCAAAATGTCCCCATAATGTAGTAAAACCTGACACTTACTTTTGGGGACATTTTTCAGGTCCCCATTTGGATAACCTCAATGACAAAGGTCTTGTATTCTGTTTGGTTACTTATGGGTAAGGTTAGTGCTGGTTAAGGTTAGGGTTGGGTAGGGGTTAAGGGTGTCGTGACTGGGATTAGGGTTTTTCCCATAGAAATGAATGGAGGGTCTGCGTTTAGATAGGTACGCCAACCTGTGTGTGTGTGTGTGTGTGCGTGTGTATGTGCGTAGATACTGTGCAGCTGTAGTTTACACAGCAGGCCCAGCCAAACTGAACACTAACACACACACGATGACGACGTTCTTCTGCATGCATGGATGAGAATGAAAAGGCTTCTTACAGACAGTGAGGGAAAGGCTCTGGAGGACCCAATATGGAGTCGTCTAATCAAGACACTATGTGGTGGGAGACATCCAATCAGGACACTGTATGGAGGGGTGAAGTCCAATCAGGAAATAATATGGAAGAAACGTCCAATCCAAGCACTGTGAGGAAGGGGATACCCAGTGTGGAGGACAAATATGTAATGACATGTGAAGACATGATTGGGGTAAAGCATGACGCATCATGGCAAGCATTGCACTGATGGGCGAGGGGGAGCAGGGATTGGCTCGAGCAGGTGTCATAGACCTGTAAGCTCCTCCCACCAGCTGACACTCACTATCCACACGTGTCTCCTGAAGGCAGTGAGATTTGTACCCAGGATCAGATGGAGGCAGAGCCCATGGCCCATCAGCCATCCTGCCACCTTAAGGGGAAGAGTGGGCAAAGTGTAGTAATAATTTCAGATAAGTGAGCAGACAAACCTGTGGATGAACTGCGAGACCAATAGCTGGGCGGTCAGCTGAGACTGGGGAAGCAGACATTATTCCTGAAAGTCAGGGAAGGGGGAGAGAAGGGCAGTATTTACGAGCTGCCGGGGGGTGGGGGGGTCGGGGAAGGACACCATCAGCCAGGCCCAGAGAGGCGCTGGAAGCTACAGCCGGACAGATTGTTTTAGCACACCCTAATAAACCTGTGAGTTCATTTACGCCCTGATTTATGGGCACTGGCTAAATGGGGGCGGGGGGGGAGTCATGCTGCCAGGAAAGAGTGTGCTTTACTGGGTGAGCAGCCCAGTAAAGTGAGGAAGGACCCCCCAAGGCCAAGGGGGGAGGGGCACTGACCGGGGGGGGGGGCACACACACACACACACACACACACACACACACACACCTAGCTACAAAGGTTCTGTAAAAGATCCAGTCCAACTAATGCAGAGCACAGAGAGTTATATTGAAAAGCTGTGCTTAAACCAAGAGGTAACCAACCAGTAACCCACAGAGTCAGAGTCACTTGCCTGCATTTGTCTGACTTTGACTGAGAGCTTAAACAATTTAGTCATCTGAAAGTGACAGGATGACTGATGATCTGGATCTGAGCTCCTGAGCTGCAGGTGTTGCAGTGTCCCCTATGCAGCACAGATACGTTGCATAGACACGCAGCCAGACAGGCAGCACAGACACACAGCACAGACAGGCACCACAGACATGCGGCAATGACACGCAGCCAGACAGGTGGCACAGACACACAGCACAGACAGGCACCACAGATGTGCGGCACAGACACGCAGCCAGACCAGCAGCACAGACATGCAGCAGAGACACGCGGAAATGACACGCAGCCAGACAGGCAGCACAGACACGCAGCCAGACAGGCAGCACAGACACACGCTGTGCACCCATCTGGACTCCACACATCCTGACTAGTCAGGCAGGCAGCTCTGCAGCAGCTGGGGATACGGCCAGGGAGGTGGGGGACACAGACTAGCCCTGCATCAGCCCACCCCCCCCAGGCCTCGTTCCTCACGCTGCATCCACATAGACCTACATTGTCAATGATGTACCACGGCATCCAAATCTGGGGGATGGTGAATGTTGCTCTACTGGAAGGCAAATATGACTCCGTTTCCAAAAAATTGGGATGCCGTATAAAATGTACATAAAAACAGCATGCAATGACTTACAAATGATAAATCCATATTTAATTGAAAAGTAGAACACAGACAAGATATAAAATGTTGAAGCTGAGAAATATTGTTTTATGACAAATATATGCTCAATTTGAATTTTATGCCAGCAACACGTTTCAAAAAAGTTGGGACAGGGGCATGTTTACCACTGCGTTGCATCACCTCGTCTTTTACAACACTCTGTAATCGTTTGGGAACTGAGGAGACCAGTTGCTGGAGTTCTGAAAGTGAAATGTTGTCCAATTCTTGCCTGATACAGTATTGCTCAAAAGTTCAGGGTCTCCTTTGTCGTATTTTTCGTTTCATGATGCGCCAAATGTTGGGTGACAGGTCTGGACTGCAGGCAGGCCAGTCTAGCACCCAGACTCTTTTACTACAGAGCCATGCTGTTGTAATACGCACAGAACGAGGTTTGGCATTGTCTCGCTGAAATATAAAAGGGCTTCTCTGACATAGACCTTGTCTGGATGGCAGAATATATATATATATATCGTTCAGCATTAATGGTGCCTTCCCAGACATGCAAACTACCCAGGCTATGGGCACTAATGCACCCCATACCTTCACGAAGGACATGGCGTCCATGATTTTCAAAAAGAATTTGAAATTTTGGCTCGTCATTCCACAGGACAGTTTTCCACTTTGCCTCAGTCCATCTTAAATGAGCTCAGGCCCAGAGAAGTCGACAGTGTTTCTGGATCATGTTTAGATATGGTTTCTTCTTTGCATGGTAGAGTTTCATCCTCTATTTGTTGATACGGCGACAAACTGTGTTCACAGACAGTGGTTTTCGGAAGTCTTCCTGAGCCCATGCAGTGATTTTGACTATATAATTCTGTCCGCTTGTAATGCAGTGCCGCCTCAGGACCAGAAGATCACAGCTAACCAATACTGGCTTTTGGCCTTGTCCCTTGCATACAAAGATTTCTCCAGACTCTCAATCTTTTAATGATATTATGTACCAGAGATGACGAAATTCCCAAATTCTTTGCAATATTACATTTAGGAACAATGGGCCTCTTTCACCAATATTTTCTTAAGAATTCTCTTAAATTTGTTCCTCCGAAATTTGTTAAGAAAAAAACTGAAGTAATGCTGAAGTAGAAGTATTAATACAATAAAATCCCGTTATAGTGGTCTCGCTTATAACGGAATATCATCTATAATGGACGAGGTCCGCTGGTCCCGACCATGCAAAGAAGAAGCCATATGCAGAAAAAGTATCGGATATAGCGGACTCGCATTTAACGGAATTTCGCTTATAACGGACAAACAATTTAGTCCCCAGCGCCGCTTTTAGCTGTAGTTTTGTTCGGCTATAACGAACATACAGGCTCCGCCTACAAGGCGCGCGGCGTGCCGGTGATATCCAGCGCAGATACGTAGTCGGGATTATTAATAGTCATGCACGCATCTGCTGAGGTAAAGTTGGATTACTACATGTACAATATATACCACAAGTGTGTCTGCTGGGGTGTGGCATGAGTAAATGGTGTCCTGTACAGTAGTTGTGTTCTGGGTATACAGCAACTCTGGTTATAATGGACTTTGGATTTAACGGACTGTTTTGCCAGGTCCTTTGAAGTTTGTTATAACCGGATCTTACTGTACAGGAGGTAAATGCAAATAGACACATGTTATTTAGTAGCGTAACCTATGGAAGCCCATTTCCGCCACCGGAGGAAAAAATAATATAAAATTTAAGTCTAAATTTCGAGATAATATCTCGAAATAACGAGAAAACTATCTCGAAATTTAGACTTATTATCTCGAAATAACGAGATAACTATCTCGAAATTTTGACTTATCTCGAAATAACGAGATAACTATCTCGAAATTTCGACTTATTATCTCGAAATAACGAGATAACTATCTCGAAATTTCGACTTAGTATCTCGAAACAGGTTTCTAGCTTTAATAACTTTTCACGGAAGTAAGGTGGGGCGTTTTTAATGACAGAATCGTGTTGTCCAGTACACAGACAACGATGCAATAACGAGATAGCCTAACTAAGTCGAAATTTCGAGATATTATATTATTTTTTCCCCCAGTGGCGGAAAACGGGCTTCCGTAACCAGTGGATATAAAGCACCAAAGAAAGTTGATACATGGAAAAATATCACCTTCTCTGTGAACGCTGTGTGCCAAATAAATATAAATGATCTTCAAACATGCGTTCCCTTCTCAGAGCACGATTGGCAAGCTCTTCAAGAAGTAACAAATGCCATTTTGATAGCAAGGCCAATGCGCAGAAACAGACCTATTTATAATCCGCGCATGATCGCCGTTACTACCATGAAAATAATTTTTACACTTTAAGATTATTTTTTATATTTTACTTTCATAAATTATTCAAATACTTTCATTTTATGAACTGTAGAATGAACAAAACTGCTATAACCGATTATTTTGAACAAACTATCATTACTGAAATGTGCGTATACGAATGGTCTTGAGTGTGCGTAGATTCTGTTCTTAGCTAAGAACAAATTCAGATAAGAAAACATTGGTGAATGTCAGAATCTTCATTAAAAAAGTGCGTACGTGGGGTTTAAGAACAAATTTGTTCGTAAGAACGGTTGGTGAATGAGGCCCATTATTCTTAAATTGTTGCACTATATTTACCCATGCAGTCTTTCACAGAGTGGTGAACCTCTCCCCATCTTCACCATACAGAGACTCTGCCTCTCTGGGATGCTCTTTTTATACCAAATCATCTTACTGACCTGCTGCCAGTTAACCTAGTTAGAAATTAATTCAACAAGTGTGTGTGTGAGTGTATTGGTGTGTGAGTGAATGGTGTGCAAGTGAATGGTGTGTGAGTGATTGGTGTGCGAGTGAATGGTGTTAGAGTGAATGGTGTTAGAGTGAATGGTGTGTGAGTGAATGGTG